GCTCACCTCCTCAACCTCTAAATGCTAAAGTATCCCAGGGATCAGTTTTGAAACTCTTCTCTTTTATATCTGTAAGCACTCCTTTAGTATTATTCACTTTCGGAAATCTATAAAATGAAGATTCCTAAATTTATATCATTGGCTCTGACCTCTTCCCTGAAATCTAAACTGTATACCCAAACTGTCTCCTTGGTATGTCTATTTCAATATCTAAATTTAACATGTGACCAAAAGAGAATTTTTGAGGTTCTCCTGCAAACTTTTACTCACAACCTTTACTATTTCAGGATTATTGCAATAGTCTCTTGACTGATCTCTCCAATTTTGTCCTGGCCTTCCACTTTAATCTGCTCTCAAGATAGCAGCCAGAGTGATCCTATTAAAAACAAATCAGATCCTCTTCTTATTGTATCTATATGAGCTGATGGATGTTACCTAAACTTACTGCAGTAATCATTTCACAATATATTTAAGTTGAACCATTATACTATACACCTTAAGATTTTACAGTGATGTATGTCAATTATATCTCAATAAAACTGGAAAAAAATAAGTCAGATCTGATCGTTCCTCAGCTCAAACACTCCAATGGCTTCTCATCTCACTCAGAACAAGTTTGAGCCCTTAACATGGTCTACAAGACCTTCATGATCTGGCACCATATTACCTCCCTGACCTCATCTATTATTCTCCACATCACTCACTCCAGTCACACTGTTCTTGCTATTCCTCAAACACAATAGAGAAGTTACAGCTTCGAAGCCATTCATTTGCTATTTCCTCTGCTCCCACACTTTTTTCTGCATGTTTCACTCCCTGATCTCTACTTCCTTTATTCTCTGCTCAAATATTTTTCTTACTAGAGAGTCATCTCTCTCCTCTTCACCGGAATTTAGGATTTATGAGGTCAGGATTTGTATGTTTGATTTTCATGGTATCTAGAATAGTTCTTGGCAGATAGTAGGTGCTCAATAAGTATATGAAGAAAAGTTGAGGTACTGAAGGATGTTGAATAGAAAAAAGATCAGCCATTCTTTTCACCAGTGTGTATTAAACCAGAGATAACTAAGAAAGAAGTCTTTTATCACATCTTATCTTTTCAGATTATAAACAAATGTTCATATTCTGTATTAAATTTCAAAGATATTATTTATGTACCACTTGTACTTTGACAAAAAATTATTAGATTAATTTAACTATTAATATAGGGGAGGTCAGTATATATGAGATAAAACGAATTATGCGTCACCTATGTACATATGTGCGCGCACACACACACACACACACACACACACACACACACAAATTCCCTGGTGACATTATCACTTGCTAAAGTTATAAATAAGACATAGATACCCACTCTCAACTAACTTCTACAATTACTGTGAGTCAGGAAGGATATCTTTTTAGCAATACACTGAGATGGAAAATACTACTCAGTGTATACCAAAATAATGAATTGTGGCTTTAAAAAAAATCTTATAACACAACAATTTAAATTATTTATAATCCTAATTAACAAGATTATATTATCACAGTTCCATAATGAACCAGACTATCAAGAGAAAGAGTAGTTTGCTCTAGTTGTTATGTCCATGTACCTGTTATCTGCCTCTCCTAATACTGACCCTTAAAAATTTGAACACTTGATGTTACTATACTGTATAATCCAATGTAAAAAGACAGAAAGTTTAAACGGTCTAAGTTAAAATTTATTTTAAAAACCAAACCATACTCTAACAAGTATCAGTGATTAAGAGTACTTATTTTTCTAAATGGCTTAATATTTTAGAAATTCAAGCCACAGGAAAAAACAATGAATGATATAGTATGATCTCATACTGACCCTCTGTGGTTTACTGAAGTATAACATCACAAAAGTGCTAAGGTTCAATGTAATTATTACTGGGAACACACATTTTTAAGACACAAATCCAACAAAATACACATATGACATGGATAGTACTGTAGCTTATAAGGTACCTTTATAAATACTCAGATTAAGCAAAGAAGGTATTATTAATCTTACTTGCCAAATAAGTAAACTGAGGTCCAGAAAGATGAGGTCATTTATGTGATTTTAACATGTCTAGTATGTAAAAGATCCTTTACATTTACACATGCACGTGTGTGCACTCATGTGCACATACATGCCAAAGATTCATAAGAAACAACACCCTACCTGAGACCTTCAGAAGTATTACAGTGAATGACTTAAAAATGCATTATATATCAGAATATCAATTTTCTTCCATTCAACTAACAGTAAAAAATATATACACAATATTGATAACTCCAAGAAACTGGCACTTCTTTTCACTGCTTAAAGCACTATAAGCTGGTACAACCCTTTTGAGAAGAAATTTGGCAATAATCTCAAGACATGAAATGCCCTTTCCTAGCAATTCCATTTCTGGGAAGCTATCCTATGAAAATAATTCAAAATATGGAAAAAGCTATGGATTATTTATAACATCCAAGATGCTTGGCATCTGAGATTTAAACTCGTAGTTTTAACAGCCTGTAAGAGAACCAGAGGCTGATCCACAGCATATGTAAAGTTGCTATGTAAGTGAGGAAGTCATGTAACTAACTAGTAAGTGAGCCTAACTGCCAGCATTAGTTTCTCCTTGTGGTCTCTACTAGTTTACCATGCATAGGGACATTTCTAAAATGGGGGTAAAAAAATCATCTTTGTTAAAAAATTGTTTTAAAAAGAAAAAGTCCCTAAAATAGCAAGCTAATTATTTGGCTGGTGATGAAAGTGAAGAGATCTAAGAAAATACTAATATTTGTGAGTTTGGAATCAGTAACAGCCTTAGGTCACATTTCTTTTCAATGCCATAGGTCTATTGTAGTGAAAAATTAGAAACATGATTAAGTCTTCAACAACAGAGAAATGATCAATTAAATCACAATCTATTTAATCACTCAGTGGCTGAATAAGGGTAATAGAATTACAGGTGACAATCTTTCTTTACATTTCAAAATATTTTATACAACACTAATATTACAGCCACAAATAAAAGAGTCAAGATAAAAATGTACTGCTAAATAGAAGAGAGAACAGTTCTCAATTCATTTCATGAAGTCAGGATTATCCTAATACCAAAAACTGAGGATACCATAAGAAACGAAAACTATAGACAAATATTCCTCATTAACACAGGTGCAAAATCTTTTAACAAAATATTACTAAATTGAGCCTAGAAGTATGTAAAAAGGACAATACACCATGACCAAGAGAGGTTTATGCCAAGAAAACTGTAGTGCTGAAATCTTCCAGTTACAGCCACAAGTGTACATATTACTTTTTGGTATTTGCACTATATAACTGTGTTAAGAAAGACAAAGGTTAGATCTGGTCCACTCAATGCAACTCAAATATTTGCCATAAAAGTTCTTAATCAAGTTAATTTTAAATTTGCTTTCTCAGTCAACTGAATATCTCAACTGTAAATAGGTTCATTTAAAATATCTTCTTTCAATAAGCTCATTGTAAGATTATAATTAAGCTACGATTACAACATATTTGACTTTAAAGATAGAATTCAACATTTCTTGAAAAATAAAATCAAGGACTTCAAGGAAAAAGTTTCTTCACAAACATCCCTGAATGGTATGATCATACTGGCTTATTGTGAGACTTACTGAAAAAGGGTACTCAAACCCTACAAGCAGGGTTTGTGCTCTTTTGCTGGACAATTCTAACAATATAGAGGATTCCACTTTGTATTATTTGAAATCTATTTTCTTTCAACTTTTATCCACTGGCAAAAGCACTGATTTCTGAGGTAATAAGAGTGATTATGTCTTTATTTACATAGTTAACCTGTAAGTACTTGAAAATAACTATTAAGTCATTTTTTAAGCTTTTCTTATTCAGGCTGAGTTCTCTCAACCACTGTACATATGATAATGCTACCAACCTTCATTTTTCTTGCTATCACATCGTGCAGAAGCCAAACATTTAAAATAAATGGGTTACAAGATAGCACTGCATTCTTATAGGAATATGCGAGATATGTGTCTATCCTAATAAATTTACTACAATAGACAATTCGCAAATATTAAAATATGCTGTTTTTTCCCCAAATGAAAAGCACTTTTGCAAACACGTGTTTTACTCAGTGCAAAAACATACTAGTTGTAAGAAACAGATATAATTGAATATAGAACACTTAATTTTTAAGCAATAGTGTTACAAGTATTTAGTATTTTTTCATCTAGAGGCTAAAAGAACTGAATCTTTGTCAAAAACTATATATAGCTTTAAAAGACATACATATATGTAAAAAGCAGTAATCCGCAAAAATAATAGTTTGCAAAGGCACATCCTGATTTGCCCAGTCAGGATTGTTAAAAAAAAATGCATATACTATAAAACAATCCTCATTTATCCTAGCTTTTATCTTTGTTTAGCTTTGACATGGTTTTAATTAGCATTGCATTACTCTAAAAAAAGTTGTTCAATGGTTCAAGGCAGTTATAAAAATCACTTACTGTGCTATACTTCTTTGAGTAGTAACAACAAAATTGAGATGGAAAACTATATATTACACATTTTGTGTTAGTGAAATCTCACTACTTAAGGTCTAGTAGGGGTTATGGGTGAAAAAGTCCACTTATGAATTATATATTTTGAAAAAAGTTTAATGACTTTAGAATGCATGGTACCTGGATTCAAGTTTCTATATCCTGAGAATAATGGAATCAAACCTAGGAAAGGTTTACTTTCATAAATGGACAGGAATAATTTGTAGTTAGTAAATCGAAGAAACCAAGAATAAGCTGGCAAGAGTCAAAACACTAGTCCCTAAGTTAATTAAATGATATATGCAAATACCGTGTTAACGTCTTCCCAAAACATTCCTGAAAAATAAGATTTTTAAAGTTTATGTTTGCAAAAAAGAGAATCTTCTTTTTTTACATCTAAAATGCACTCAACATCCTAAAATAAAGAAAAACAGATGAACATTTAGTTAATATCTAATTCTTACCTGGAACCCACTTAATTTCCATTTCCATTTCATTTTCTTTGCCTTTCTTTTCTTTTTCTCGGACAATTTGCAAAAGTTGCCTATATTTAGCAATTTGTTCTTCGTCATCTTTCTGACTTTTTTTTGTTTTCCCATCTTCTTCTACACTGATTCCATCATCACCTAACAAAAAACAATTTTAATACACAGAAATAATTCACATCTAACTCGTATTTAAATCTCACAGTCAATACAGCATCCTCCTAAAAGATGTTGTCAGACATACTGTAATAATAGAGTATCATAATCAGACTTAAACTCTTAACATTAAATGAATTGAATCAAAGACTAAGGTCCTGTTTATGATAAAAATTAGTTGTAATATGAGTTAGCACTGTAGCAGTAGTATATTTGGAAATCTCCCTTTTATTAAAATTCACATTTCAAAATAATTACATAGTC